TAACGTTGACAAAGGAACGAAAGAAAGAGAAGATAGGCTTGATGACAAGAACAATTAATGTCCTGCCGAGAGGCCAAGCTGAGGACATATTATTCAAGAGAAACTCAATCTATGCGCCTGTCAACATTGACTTGACAATACCAATTCAATCAATGTCACTGCGTCTAATCAAATTGCTAATGTTTTCCTAGAGCTGCATAAATTACTCCTAGACGTGGCCTTAAAGAAATGACTGGCATCTGAAAAAAAATGGATTATTACAGTGTCAGTAAGAAACTCTTCAAAATTAAAGTTCCTTGGGAGGAGGGTGAAATTTGGCTTCAAAATTCCAGCTCTGTTTCCCTTCACGGCAGCTGCCTTTGCAAGCCCAGAGGCATAATTTTTATTACTCCTGGAGAACAAATAAAAGTGCCGCTAAAAATAGCCCATTCTCTGTTAGATCGCCAGTGCCACACCATTTTGTTTAACCTGTAAGCGAGTGACAGCTGGCGACTTCAAAAGCCCTGAATTTTTTTTTATCAGACTAAAGGTATGCAATGCTAACATCACGAATGTGCACATGCTGAAAAAGAAATCTCCCCTTTGACAACGAGATTGTTAGAAGCTTAGGACAATAATGCAAGATAACCCCAGGAAGGGAAAATTCAGAACCACTGGAATCTGTTGTCTACTTTACACATGGATAGAAGCCACAGCTGGGTTACTTATGTCGCTTTTTGGGGCTACCCTTGGCCAATATTGAGTGTTGCAATTATGATAGCTGCATTTCTAGGCAGAATGCAAGACATTTGTTTGCTTGTGAAGAATTGTGTTTACAGTGGCTTCACTGGGAACCAGTGGTGAAATGCTACCGGTTCGGCCTGGTTCTCCTGAACCAGTAGCAAAAAATGCTACCGAAATGATCCGACGATCAGCTGATAGGATAAAGAAGAGAAAAGTGCAGGAGCAGTCCTCCCACTTCAGCTGGTGTTTGGAAATCTGTGCACGCTTTGGAAAGCGAAGTGCGCAATCACCAAACCAGTAGGGAAACTGGTAAGAATCCCACCACTGCTGGGAACCCTTCACTTCTGTTTTGATTCATATGAGATTGAGCCAACATTGACCCTTCCTCACTTAGATTAGCATCTGGTTAAACCCTGAAACCTCCTTCGCAGTGGGACAAGTCCAAATTATGTAACAAATGGACATCAATTCCCATTCAGGATCATGAGAGCACCAGCATAAAGTGTTGGAGGTGGACTTGTCTCCATTAGGCTGGTCACCTTCCATTTTGAAATCAAGATTTAGAGAACCTCATAAGAAGACAATGGAGCAGCATGGTGGCCTAGAGGGGAAGATGCTCGCCTCCCACTCAGAAGGTTGACAGTTCAATCCCAGGCAGCAAGAGATGTTTCTCTATCAGGGCACAAAGAAAAAAAAAATCTGCTGTGAACTCTGCATAGGCGTCAGGGAGGGCATCCGGCCAATAAACGCTCAGCTCCATTCAGTCACCCCAACTCCACCCCAATTAATGGATTACAGGGTCATAAAAAGAAGAAGAAGAAAATGCAACATAATGCAACAATAATGGGCGTGTGACAAACGTCAGCATAAGGATGAATCCCTCTTTCTGGAAAGGAAGCCCTGTTTCTCCTTTCCGTGACTCAAACATACTCAGAATTCAAAATTCACTCAAAACTGCTTCCAGCCTTATTAATTCTTCCTCCCCTAGGAGCCCTCGCTATTTGTTGCATGTCAGGATGCTGGAGGCTCAAAGAAACAAATCAAAATTTGGCCAGGATCTCACTGATGAAACAAGTCTATGCAGCTTGCCATCTGTACATTTTGGCTGCCTTCCCTTGTTTGGGCCCGCAGCCGTGTCACAGAATCTTTGTTTCGGCAACTAATGTGCTTTTAGCTCATCTCTCTGGCACAGCATTGCAACCGCCAGGAAAATTATGACAACTTCAAGTCAGGCCTTTCTAAAGGAAGCTTTCTCTTCCCTAAGATGCTGACTGACCTGCGAACAACAGAGGTGGAGCTTCTGAGGAACACGGAGTCTAAAGGGCAAAAAATACTGTATTTGTCCAGATGTCTCAATATTTCTGAGGTGGAGGAGGAGGAGGAGGAGGAGGAGGAGGAGGAGATTTCTCCTAGGGACCCACACAAAGAGATCAGGTCCTATACATTAGAAATGAAAGATGAAAAATGAAGAATGTCTAGCCAAAATGCAAACGTCTTTCTTTACCTTTCATTATATGGTAATTTAACTAACTAAGAATTGGTCCATAAAGTTGTTTCTTACCCCAAAGCAAAGATTATTCCTTCTAAACATTGGAAATCCCTTTGGATGCTTTCCGATTAGGAGTATAACTGCCTGTGGCTTTAATTCTCTTGCCGATTCTTATTTTCCATTCTCTTCTGACAGGTCCATCCAAAACCGGCCATTACTGTGCAGCTTCTCCCTATCTCATTTGTGGCATTTTATGGGATCAATCTGCCATTTGTAGCATTCCTGTGGTTTTGTTCCACTGTTTCTTCTGCCGCACACAGCATCTTCTGACTGGAAGTGCTATTGTCAGCCTTTCTGGAAGCACTTAAAATGTCCCCTCGACCTTCCATGGTTCCTCTCAGAAGAGGAAACCAAAGCAACTAAGAGCTCCTCTAAATTCCAGGAGAGACAGGTGGACATCAAGAAGTCATAAACTGAAGCAACAGAAGATTTATGTTCTGGAACCACACAAATTACATCCAGATAGGGTCCAAGGAAATCTACCACATGCTTTAAAAGAAGAGTTAGATGCATGTATCCCGGATGTTCTGATTATCTCCTAACCAAGCCAAGTTTCCTTGTTCCTCTTGTTCTCATATTCTTTCCATGCATTCATATGCCCAATGGCCACTCTCCCTAAGCAGGGCTGTTTTTCAGCAGAGGTCACTTGATCCCATCATTACAACCACAAGGCTGGTAATGAGATCAGGAACTCGGCACACGACTGTTGGGATCAAGTATCTTTCAGGTGGCATAAAGTGAGCTTATTAAATTTTAAACTGAGCACAGCCTTCATCTGTTGTTTCGGCTCCCAAGTCATCATCCCAACCCCAACCTAGTTCCTAACCCACAAGAGTAAAGCCTAGAAAGTTTAAAATCTTCTTCCACAGTACTCTAAATTCAGACTTCTCACTTTCCACATTAATTAGGAAGTCTGTTAGCATAAGCATAGGTGTAGATATAACCCAGCCTTAGGTAATCCTTGACTTACAACCACAGTTGGGACCAGGATTTCCATTGCTAACGAAGTTGTTAAGTGAGTTACACCTGAGTTTCTGACCTTGATGGCCAAAGTTATTAAACAAATCACTGCAGTTTTTAAATGAATCATACAATAAATAAATGAATCATTAAACAAATTTGTCTTTTCCCCAGCTTATTAGAAACCACCTGGGAGGGTCCCAAATTATTATTATCATCATCATCATCATCATTATTTGATCATTGCACAGTCAGCCAGATGTTCAGACTGGGTTTGGCATTTTTGTCTACCTATCAAGTCTTTACCAAGGACCTGGGATAGGCAGATCTGGATGTTTGACAGTGTTACAGATACCATCGCAGGATGGAAGCTGTTCCAAGTAAAGCTGCCTTCTGCAATTGACTGATGGCAAATCTTTTGATGCCAATGTTGTTCAGGTGGTGCTCCAGTTGTTTTGGGATTGCACCCCAGGTGCCTATTACTATTGGTACTACCCTTGCTTGCCTTTGCCACAGTCGTTCTATTTCTATTTGTTGGTCTTTTGTATCTTGTTATCTTTTCCCAGTTCTTTTCTCTTCTGCTGTCTCCAGGCATTGCCACATACACTATCCAGGGTTGTTTGTCTTTCTTATCGATTGCTAAATGAATGTTGTAAGCTGAGGACTACCTATATTAAGATAGTCTAATGTAATTCAGGATTTAGAATCATGGACTTCAAAGGACCCTGGAGGTTCAAACTTTCACAGCTGTAGATTACCACTATGTAGAATCACAGAGTTGGATGGAACCTTGGAGGTCTTCTACTCCAACCCCTGCCCAAGGCAAGAGAGCTTATACCATCCTGAACAAACACTCATCCAATCTTTTCTTGAAAACCTCCAGTGATCCACAACTCCAAAAGTCAATCTGTTCCACTGATTAATCATTCTCCCTATCAGGAAATGCCTCCTTATTTCCAGGTAGGATCTCCTTCTGACAAGCTTCCATCCACTGCTTCTTTGCCAACATTTACTAGAAGCACCAACTTTCTTCCTTCTTTGCTGTAACTTTGGGTTAGCACAATGTTTGCTAGCTTTAAGATGTGAAGTCTTCAACTCCCACAATTCCCCTCTTTTCTCACTGGATTCTCTCACACTCAAAGAACCACCCGGTACATTGTATTGTGGATTGGCAACAGACCTCAGTTACACAATAGTTTTGACAATCGATTCTAGCAGCCAGTCCTATTCCTGTTTTTTCCTTCCATATTCAGATTTTTGCAGATATTTACATCTCATATGAATATCGTATTTTGATGTTCCTTTAAGTTTTTGCATCCGAAAAAGCTGCCTGTAATTCTAATGCTGGATTGTTTGTAAATCAAGGGTTTTCAAGAACAGGGACAAACAAAAAAAGCTATTCTATTTTGGTTTTTGTATGCAAATGTACACACGTATGGGCACATAGATATAAATACATTTATTTCTGACAAATGCAGGGCTTCACCGATTACCTCAAAGATCAAAGATGGATTGGATAAGTGTGCAAAGTTGCAGTGAACATCCCTCTGGCCTATTCAAAGCTTTGGCCAACACAGAAGAACTACAGAACGATCTGACATATCAAAATAGCTAACTACTTTGCAGTTCAGGACTGTGCGGTCCGCCATTTTGTCAAACCAGCTCAAGCCATCATCATGTCCCACAGCTCCATAGGGGAAAGATGACAATTTTGCCAACCTGCCTCTTTTGAACCCTTCAAGAAAAATATTGGCTATGGAGTACTCACAAACTGCCTCCGAAGCTTCGTTTTGACCCGCTCCGTCTTTGTTTCAGTCGAGTGGAGAGAATAACTGAGGGAACTTAGGTGGTTGTCCACAGATAGACTTTTCCTCATGTAGAAGGACCGAGTTCGGATGGCCCTGAAAGGGGCCTCATCCATCACAGTGCAGAGCCGTGGTTGCATGGTGGAGTCTCTCCCGGGACTCATGCAGTCATCTTCTAGCTCCCAGGCCTCTCCTGGAGGAGGAGTACAAATCAGAGAAGATGGACTCCCAAGCAAGAAATGGAGGATTAACATTCACAGATCCACCACAATATCACCCAACATTCGGTCAACACTTTTACCAGGGACAAAGAAAAATATCCATGATATGCACCCAAGAGTAATGGTTTGCTGGCCAACAGTTGGGCGAAAGCTATCAAATGAGACCAGCAGGGTCTTCTCATCCAAATGCAGTTTCCATTAATTAATTAATTAATTAATTAATCTAACAGAAAATATTTTCAGTCCAGTATGACAGAAGATCTCCACCTTGGTAACTTGAAGATGGGCGGACTTCAACTCCCAGAAAATTGCAAGACGCAAGAAGCCAATTGTCCTAGGAAGGATCTAGCACCAACTCTAGCCCAGAGGATCTCAACCTTGGCAACTTGAAGGTGGATGGACTTCAATGGCTGACTGGGGAATTCTGGAAGTCCCACCCATCTTTAAGTCCCCAAGGTTGAGAAACACTATTTTAAGGATCTGTATCCAAACCATAACTTTATGCAAACTGCATACATATTTTTATGGATAATATGAAGGCAAACAGCATTGACCTATATTACAAGGGTAGTTTAAGGACTCCAGAAATAATAGAGCTGAAGGCTCAGATCATCCTGTACAGCAAAATTTATACAATAGTTTTTATTGAAAGCAAAATACGTGCCTTATCCAATGATTCTGACTTCTCACAGAAGGAAAAGATCCTTTGCCATTTTCATTTTGAGGAACACACAGTACTGAAAGGGACTGACATCAGAGTACAATTTCTGTCTGGTGCATATATATGTGGCCACTAAAATCAATTGTGAAGCATGCAATCATTTTTTATTTTTTATTTTTAGTTGAAATACACCAAGAACCCTCAAAATGTGGGGCTCTGTTAGACGCAGAATATTCTGCACATTCAGGCTATGGAAACAGAGAGCGGAAAAGACAAAAATCATGGTCAATGCTAGATTCACTTTTGTAAGCCTTTTAGGACTTCAGTTTGGCATGGAGATTTGCAGCATTAAAGGAGGAAGGCGAATCAGTTTGATAACATGACAGTTATCTTAATATTTTAACAATGATACAACAATGTGATGTTCTAAACACCAACGATCAGAAAAATACAAATTTAACTTGAAAAATCTTTCAGGTCTTCAGTACAACGTGCCTGGGAAAGATCCGTTTTACCCCAACAAGGAACACAATTTCCACATAAATTGATAGACTTATTTAAAGCAATCTATAAATACAGGATACAGAATAGATTACAGAATAACAGAATTAGAAGGGATCTTGGAGGTTTTCTAGCCCAGGCAGGAGAGTCTATGCCATAGTGGACAAATGGCAAAAAGAAGGAGAAGGGGAAGGAGAAGGTGAAGGAGATGGAGAAGGAGAAGAAGAGGAGGAGAAGGGAAGGAGGGAGGGAGAAAGGAAGGAAGGAAAGAAGGAAGGAAGGAAGGAAGAAAGAAAAGAGGAAGGGAAGAAGAAAGGAGGGAAGAGGAAGGGAAGAAGGAAGAAAGGAAGGGAATTCTTCACAGTGTCTCAAAATTATGAAGGAAATTCTTCACAGTGTCTCAAAATTATGAGATACTTTCCTCCTTCACAATGCTCCTGCTCTCCTGCCTGCCTTATTTATTTTTCCTTTGCTTGCTTAAATCTTTCCTGATCTGCAGAATATATGCCTTGTCGAGCAGAGGATTTTTAAATGGCAGACATTTATTCTATCTGCTCAGCTCCCTTCAGTGTTTACGCTGTTGTTTTATATGTCCTTTACAGGATTTGTGGCTTTCCAAGAACGTAAAACCACCATGATGCAAAAAA